CGCTCCTACAGGGAGGCGATTTCGGGTGAGTACTCCTCTCAGTGGCAGACAGCCATGGACGCAGAGATGGCTTCCTGGAAGTCCACAGGCACCTACGTCGACGAGGTTCCCCCACCTGGGGCGAACATCGTCAGTGGCATGTGGATTTTCAGGGTGAAGCGGCCGCCGGGTTCTCCGCCTGCCTTCAAGGCACGTTACGTTGCTCGAGGCTTCAGTCAGCGTGAGGGGGTCGACTTCTTTCAGACCTTCTCTCCCACCCCGAAGATGACCACTCTTCGGGTGTTGCTACACGTTGCAGCTCAGCGTGACTACGAGCTGCACTCCCTCGACTTCTCGACAGCTTTCTTGCAGGGTAGCCTTCACGAGGCCATCTGGTTGCGCCGTCCACAGGGCTTCACTGGGTCGTTTCCTGAGGGTACCCAGTGGAGCCTACGGCGACCAGTGTACGGCTTGCGTCAGGCGCCCCGCGAGTGGCACGACACACTGAGGACGACACTTGCGGCTCTTGGGTTTGCTCCTTCGACTGCTGACCCGTCGCTGTTTCTACGTACCGACACTACTCTGCCGCCGTTCTACATCCTCGTGTACGTCGACGACTTGGTTTTTGCTACTGCTGACACTGAGGCACTGGCCCTAGTGAAGGCGGAGCTGCAGGAGAGACACACCTGCACTGACCTGGGTGAGCTGCGGAGCTATCTTGGCTTGCAGATCACCCGGGACAGACCACGGCGCACCATCACCCTGACTCAGTCACACATGGTGCACCAGGTCCTACAGCGCTTCCGCTTCACGTACTCCTCGCCACAGCCCACTCCTCTGGCTACCGGCCACTCGCTCTCAGCTCCACCTTCGGACGAGTCCGTAGAGCCGAGTGGTCCGTACCCAGAGCTTGTGGGCTGCCTCATGTACCTGATGACGTGCACACGACCTGACCTCGCGTACCCTCTCAGCCTTCTGGCTCGCTACGTGGCACCCGGTAGGCACCGAAAGGTGCACTTTGATGCTGCGAAGAGGGTACTGCGTTACTTGTGCAGCACATCGGGCATGGGGCTCGTGCTTGGAGGACGGGGTTCGGTGGTCCTCACAGGACACTCTGACGCCTCTTGGGCCGACGACCAGGCGACTCAGCGTTCGTCACAGGGCTACACCTTCAGTCTTGGCGCTGGTTCTGTCTCGTGGAGGTCCACTCGTTCTTCTTCTGTGCTTGGTTCCAGTTGTGAGGCCGAGATCTACGCTGGGGCCATGGCTGCACAGGAGCTCCGCTGGCTGACCTACCTGCTGACCGACTTGGGGGAGCGGCCTCGTTCTCCTCCAGTTCTGTACGTCGACAACAAGGCAATGCTTGCCTTGTGTCGCGAGCAGAGACTGGAGCACAGAACGAAGCACATTGATCTGCGCTACTTCCTTGCGCGTGAGCTGCAGCAGCGTGGTCAGCTGCGCCTTGCTTTCGTGGCCTCTCGGGCCAACACTGCTGATGTCTTCACCAAGGCCCTTGGGGCTGGTGATCATCAGCGTTTCTGCACTGCTCTTGGGCTTGTGCCCACTCTGCCTCACCTGCTGGTTGCTTGACTTGCTCTTGTTATACACTGCTATATATATCTTTATACCTGCATGTTTACTGCCTTGCTATTATAAATCTGCATGTGAACTGGCCTTGTGGCCGCCTGCTCGTGCTCAGATTGTGTGGTGTCCTTGAGATCCACCCTGGGCTTTGCCTTGCTTGTTCTGTTGCTTGACTGGTCTTGTGACCACTGTTAGGTTTGGCTATCCCCTACTTCACCTAAGGGGGTGTGTCAAAACATATTGTTATGTTCTTACTCTAGGTTGTGTAGGGTCACACCTTAGAGGGTACAACCCAACTCTCTCGACACTCTTGTACCCCCTCTCCCTCACCTAATCATCATTCCTCACCTAGCTACTAGTGATTCTAACAGGCGAAACAGTATGGCAATCCTGAAAATTCAGGGCATATCAGGGAGCAACATCCTGAGACCACAGGGTACAAATGAGCAGCATTCTGAAATTACATGGCATATTTAAAACCGCATCCTGAAATCAGGGTAATCAGGATGTTTTGCCCTGATATCGTGGGCCCTGGCTGTGAGGGCGCCTCCGTCCTACACTCTAGTTTCTTTGTTTATAGCCATTTCCGCTATGGCGAGTGACACGAATCTGCAGTAGACTAGAATGGCTTCCTCACCCGATTCTAGCAGTATGGTAGTTAGGCGGCAGCAGCCTACGAACTCTCGGTGTGCCGCTGCTGCACGCGCAAGGACGTCACCTCGCCCCGTCTTGCCCCAGCCGTCTCCTCCTGGTAGTGCTTCTACTAGGGATGAACCGAGCAGTAGCTCCGAATCTCCTCGCCCTCCCCTGCCACGCGTGGCTGTTCCCACCTTCCCGGAGAGTAAGCGCCCGCAGGGACAGAAGAAGTGCATCGCGGATGGTGAGACACCATCCCCTCGCCATCGCATGACGAAGAAGGTGCGTCACGCGATCACTGTGAAGGAGAAGCTACACTGGCTGAAGATGCAAGACTCTCAGCCCGATCTTGGGAATCGCGCCCTGGCTAAGCTCGCGAAGGTGCAGCCCTGCCAGATCCGCGAGTGGAAGAAGCTGAGGGAGCGGCTGGAGGTCGCATCTAGCTGCCGGCGTCGCCTCGTGGGTTCCGGCCGCAAAGCGAAGTACCCACTCATGGAACGGGCGGTCTACCACCACTTCCTTAACTACCGGGCGAAGGGTCTCGCCGTCTCGGTCCGCATGCTCCAGCAGTGGAGCTCCAAGTACATGAAGCACCGGATGCCGTCGGTCAATTGGCGCGCATCGTTCCGCTGGGCGACGCGTTTCCGCTCGCGCTGGCACTTGGCGAGGCGGGTGAAGACGAAGATGGGGCAGAGGTTGGCCGCCGGTAAGTTATTCTTTATTCCGAACGTGTTTACGACCATGACGTTGATCTAATGCTTGCCGTGGCACTCTTTTCAGATTGCAAGGAGAAGGTGGAATCGTTTTGGGAGTTTGTGCGCCAGATGCGCACTGTCAACGACTACCCACTCGACCTCATCGTGAACGCGGACCAGACTCCGCTATTCTTGGAGATGCCGGCGGAGCGCACGATCGAGATGAAGGGAGCGCGTACGGTTCACGTACGCAGTGCAGGATATGAGAAGGAACGGGTTACTGTCATGCTGGCAGTAACTGCGGGTGGCCTCAAGATTCCTCCCTACGTCGTGTTCAAGCGAAAGACTATCCCGAAAGTGCCCATACCTGCCGGTAAGTGAACCAACCATGTTTACGGTTTGACCCGTGCTCTTGCCTGTCACGCGTCCTGACCCCACGACACTCTCGCGTTGTGATTGGCAGGTGTGGTGGTCCGTGCACAAGCGAAGGGGTGGATGGACGAATCTCTGGTGCAGGACTGGATCACCCAGGTGCTGGTGCCGTTTCTGAAGCCTCTGCGAGAAACCACCGGACGCCGCAGGGAGGCGTTGGTGGTGCTCGACTCCTACCGCGGCCACTTGACGGAGGCCGTCGGTCAGACGATGCGGATGTTCAGGTTGTCAAGGGCGGTCATCCCAGGGGGCTGCACACCGCTTGTGCAGCCTCTGGATGTGTCAGTGAACCACGCGTTCAAGTGCGGGGTGCGTTCCCGCTACAGCGGATGGTTCGAGGAAGACGGCATCAACCAAACCACTCGCGCAGGTGAGTTGAAGCCAGGGCGCCTACCGTTTGTGCAACTTTCAATTGAGTGACAGCGAATGCTTTGCAGCTACCGTTCTCACTCCTGATTCTAAACCTCTTCCCTTCCCACAGGTAACCTGAAGAAGCCGCCTGCGGACTTGGTTCTCCGCTGGATCGACGAGTCCTGGGAAGCTGTCCCAGAGGAGCTTGTGAAGAAATCATTCGTCACCTGTGGGATCTCCACCAAGATCGATGGCACTGAAGACCACCTCATCCTTGCCCACATGCGGGACAAGGGTGAGGTCGAGGTCGTTGACGACGTCAACGACCTGGTTGAGGACGAGCTCGTCGTCAACCCGTTCTACGACGAGGCCCCCGTGCCGCCCGAGGAGCTGCAGGCGGCAGAGGATGACGCCGCTGAGGAGGCGGAGGAGGCAGCGGCGGCGGCAGAAGAGGAGGAGTGGAACGCGCCTGCAGAAGGCGGTGAGGCGGGAGAGTGCAACGAGGTGGATGATGATTGGTGGCGCCCTGGCCGCTATGACGGAGAAGAGTGTGACGAGTGGCACGCAGGGGACGATGAGGAGGAGGAGTAGGCAGCATAAGGAAAAGCACCGTAGAGAAAAGACAGAAGTACGGTAGGAGGTGATGGTAGTGCTGTTTCTGACAAAATGTAGGGTCTAGGTGCTGTGTGCGATGTTTCAACCATAGATTGTACCCCTAACTATGGCATGAACACGGAATTTGCACCTTTTGCCGCACATAACACCCACCCCCCGGGTCTTACAGAGAATCACCCCAAAAGGGGGGGTATAGTACTAACGGGGTCGGATATAACACCCACCCCGTATTAGCTACCCGGGGGTGTACAATTACGGGGGGGTGTTTTATCCGGGAGAATACGGTAGCACGAGCATTACATTCCATCTTTACTTCTGTGTCCCCTCTGTGTACACAGCACTGTGAGGGTTGCGCTGAACCAGCACAGTCCACTGCCACAACCGCCATACATGGTTTCCTGCATTCACAGCATCACCGTGTCGCCTCTCTCTAGAGCAGCAGCATTGCCTTCCTGCTTCACATCCATGCTGCTGCCTGCCTGCCCTGCTGTGCTCATCAATGCCTGAACTCATGCCTCACAACCACAGATGACTCAAAATAAGGAACCCAGTTCCACCATTCTTTGAAACGCAGAGATAAGCACTGAAAGCTACATTTCTCCAGCACTGAAAGCCATATCTGCAAGCCTACAAAGAGCAGCTCGCAGGCATATCATTGGACCTACAGAAATAAGCAATAAACGCCCTTGACCCGCCTGCTGGTGGCAGCTACTCAGCAGCGGCAGGCGCAGCAGAGGGTGCAGCCTTGGCAGCGGCAGCGGCGGCATGGGCAGGGCAGGAGGTGCAGTTGAGGGGGCGCTTGCAGCGCACGAGGCCAAAGAGGATTGCCTCTGACACCGCTGCCTGCACGTGGTGCAGCAGCACCCGCACCGCCTGCACGCGAGAGAGGACGGGCATAGGGCGAAAGAGAGGCGTGGTGGGGGGGAGGGGGGGTGGAGAGGGGGTGGAGGTAAGTGGATGATAGAGCGTGACAAAGAAGTGGGTGGTGCAGGCTGCTGTGGCATCCGATGGAGATGGCATGTGCGAGCACTGCATAACACGTCGCATACCTCACTAACGTTCTCGCAGTTGTTCGCTTCTTGAATCTTCTGCAAAACGTCCTCATGCTGACGCACGGGAATGGCAATGCCGGGGGGTGATGGCAATGGCAAGGGGTGATCGCACGACTTGAAACAGACGAGAGCAGTGCAAACGAGCAGAGACGAGGGCAGTGCAAGCGAGCAGAGACGCAGTTCATGTGAGCACAGGACTTTGCAGCACGTGGGGAGTGGGCAGGCACGGCACACATGGCACGAAGGGGCACGCATGGCAGGCGGGGAGTAGGCGCAGCAGGAGGGGGGGAGGGCAGGTGTGACTCACGAAAGACTCGATTTCGAATGAGTGCGTGGCGAGCGATGAGGAAGCCGACTGGATGGCCTGCCATGGCACTCACACCACCACACACGTTGCAATGGCACGCAGTGAGACGAGATGACATGGCATGGCAGGGCACGGCATGGTGTGGCATGGCATGCAATGGGATACGGAGCATGGACTGGCATGGGAACAGCACGGTACAGCGACTGGTGTGTGTGAATGGCCGCCAGAGCAACCCCACGCAGCCCACCACGCGGCTCAGCGCGTTGGCGTGGCTCCTATGCATGTCCCCGCGGCCGTACCTCCTTGCCGCCCAGAGCCCCCAGACTCTCGTCCCTGGCGTAAGTCAGCACGATGCGCAGCGCCTTGCCTGCGCGCCACGGCACGTCAGGGGTGTGGGGAGGGGCGGGTGTGAGGAGGATGGGGTGTAAAGGTTACGCATGCTCGCGACTGTCGTTGAGTTCGCGAACGCGCAATTAATCACCCAGAATCAGAAACACCGGCAACCCTGCCTCTTCCGTTCCCTCGCTGTTGCTTCCTCCTCCCTCATCCATCCCTCCATCCATGCGATGCATTGCACAATTCCCCATGGCTACGCGGCGCGACGCACCAGCATCGGGCAGCCCGTGCGTGGCGGCCATCTGGGCGAGCCACGCCGCCTCGTCCGCCGCCAGCTGCAGCTCCACCGGGATCTTCGCGGCCTGCGAGAGGAAGGGCGGCACACGGCGAGCGCGGAATGAGCATGGAGAGAGGACGGCGAAAGGGAACACGGGATTGTGTGCGACGCGACGACGGATATTGTCTTCACGCACCGCCATAGTTGAAATGCTCTTCTAGGTGAAAATTCTAGTGGAAAGGGTAGCGCAAGACGTTCTAAAATAATAAGTTTGTACACTTTTGTTGCCGGAAACGATCACATCAGAGTGGCGCAGCGGAAGCGTGGTGGGCCCATAACCCACAGGTCCGAGGATCGAAACCTCGCTCTGATAGGCTTTTGCCGCCTTCTTGACATGAGGTAATCTGTAGTTTGTGCATTATTTCCAGTAAAAAATTGTGGTGGAAAAGATGGCCAAAAGTTTGTGATACACTTTATCCGCAACGCATTTCCGCCCCACGCATGGCATGCACAACAATAGAGCAATCCGTCTTGGGAATTCAGGAATTGAGCACCCCTTATGAAATTCCTCCCCATCAAGAAATTAGCGCCTCTATTAGTCGATAGTCCCACCCACATCACCACTACCCCTGTCTCCGTTTCATACGTTACGTTTCATAGCCCCACATCAGATCATAACTCCATGGCGTTTTCCTGCTCATCCATGGCGCGGCCGTGCATCCTCTCTTCCTTGGCGAGGTACGTGTGTAAGTCTTTTGGATTGAGAACAAATTTGGATTTGGTATAAACCTGCCGAATTCTTCCTTCTCGTGGTTTCTTTAAATCGATTTCCTTTTCTTCTTCGGCAGGCCCCTCTGTCACATGGCGGACTTTCACCCCCCATCAATCGCGTCAATCGCGCGCAACTTCTCCCCAGCTCTCAGCGCGGGCGTGCAAGTCGTGTCAGCGCACAGCAAACGGGCATGCACACTGGATGCGTCCCTCTTACAGTCCCCGCCGTTGCAGTATTCGCGCGACCCTTCAGCGGCGGAGTGCGCGCGCGGCGTCGCGGGCCTCCACGTCTTCGGAGGTCCCGACCTTCCCACGGAGGTGCCGGGTCGCGGCGGAGTGCAGCCCGCAAGCCCCGAGATTGTCCCGAGGGCGCCTCCCATCCCGATGCCGAACGTCCCCCCGCTCACTCCCCCCGAAGTCCCCGCGCCCTCGCCACCCCCCGAAGCCGTCCCTATCCCACCCCCCGGAGCCCCTACCCCAACCCCTCCGCCAAACCTTCCGCCCTTCCCCCCGCCCGAAGTTCCGTCCCCCACCCCGCCCGACATTATTCCCGAAATCCCGGAGATTCCCAACCCTCCGGAGCGAACCCCGGAGATTCCCGAGGTGCCGATGCCCCCTGACGTGGTGCCGGACATCCCGGAGATCCCAGGCGTGCCGCATGTGCCGGAGGGGCCGGAGCTGCCGCATCCGCCGCTGGAGGTGCCGCCGGGATCCCCCGGCGGTCGCGGTGGAACCCTGTGGGCGAGCATGCACGGCAGTGCCCGTGCTGACTGGTGGCTGACAGCCGCGTAGCTAGTTGTTTCAGTAGACCGTCATGCTGAGCGCGGGGCAGCACTGGTAGCGTTAGAAGCAACGATCGTATTCTGTTGCGCAGGCAAGCTGTTGTAGCATTTGTTAAATGTAAATACATCTATATGCACAGCAAGATATGATGCAAAAGAGCCCGGTACCTAAGTATCCTAGGGCCTGAGGAGGATAAACGAGCAGAGGTAGAGTACAGAGGCAGCGGAGGGTCCAGCTGCTACTGGTCGGCGAGCATCTCCATCTGTGGGGGCGGAGAGCACGCTTGGAACTTGCGCACGTTGCCCGCATAGCCTGAGGGGGTACGAAGAAAATGATGGGAACACTCGAGTGCGAGTGCAAATGGAAATAGTAGGTGCACGAGCACTAGTTGCTACGATGCACATGCTATTCTATGCACGCACCTAGCGCGGGGTCCCATCCGCGGTTGCGCAGTTCGCGGTGCTCCTGCGCGATGGCGCAGCACGCGCACAGGCAGTGCATCCAGAAGTCGCTGAACGGCCGCTGCGGCAGCATGTACTTCTCGCGCAGCCGCTTGCGAAAATCTGCAGCGCGCGGCGCAGCGCACCAAACGAGCAGGACGTAAGGAGACGACACGACATCAGACGGTGAAACAATGTATAGAAAAGAGTTGACAGGGAGGGGCGAGGAGAGCGTGTGGGAGAGAATGACGGCATAGAGGGCAGCGCGGCTGACCTCGCGCGAAGAAGGCGCCGCTGCAGGCGAGCTGGAGGAGCGACCACCCGACGCACGCGCGGCAGGGGTCTGCGTGACGCGAAGAACGACGAGCGGGGGATAGATCGGATGGATTAAGTGACAAAGCCGTGTGCGAGGTCACTCTTGTGCTATTAGTTGGCGCGCGACGCGTCAGAATGGTGTGAGGGCGCGGTGGGGTCACCTGTAAAGCCGTCGGTGACGATTTCGGCGTTGCGCCCCACCATGACGCACGGACACCACACCGCGCAGCACACTGCGCACACACGCGCGGGACCACGGCATCGGGTAAGAATGAGGGCGTTAAGGTTCGGCTTGGTGGGCCACGCGCAATGATGCGAGCGTATGGGTGCGGAGAGAGCGGCGTGCTCACAGGAGGGGACGTCGTCGCAGCACGCGAACACGGACGTGGTCCAGGCGCCCTCGGGTACCCACGGCTGGTCGAACGCCATGTGAGTGAGATGCGATGCGCCGAGATGCGATGTGTGAATTTCTTATGCTCCGCAGAATTTCCAATTAATCACTGGCGAGCGGGCTGCTGTGTCTTAAAACTGGCTCAGTGTCAGCCAGAAGTTACAGCGGAGAGCGATGTTCGCTATTGAAGCTGGGAAGGCCGAGAGGCTGGTGCAGGCAATTCGTGGTGCTGACAGGAGGACTGGGTCAAGGAAAGGGTGGAAGAACTGGCTGGAGAAACGGGAATGGGTGGGAAATAGGCCATCATAGCAAAGGGGGTGTTGGATGTGGTTCTCGGGGCAATGATGGTGGGTTGGGAAGAGGGTGAAATGGGATGCGAAAATGCGAATCTCCGCAGTCGAGGAAAACAAATGAGCGAGACTGGCGCCGCCAAGTGCGGGCAGGAGTCAATCCCTGGCGCGGTGATTTATTGCAGAAACGCGAACCAAATTCGCGATATAGGCGCACGCACGCGAAAGCAAGACTAAACACATCCATAACTTTCAGGTCCAACTTCTCTTTTGACTTATCCACCTGAATACCCCATGATACCGTACCAGTATGCAGCTCTATTCCCAAAGAACTTACTAATGTGCATTCTGCCCTGTGGCAACGGCACTCACTAAACCTACTGCACATCCATGCCTGACCCGCATTGTGCTCGCACCAGTCCCAGTCCAAGAAAATGGCCAACATTTTTCAAGGGTGACGTCCACCAGCAGCACCTGCTTCACATCCGCCCTGCAGGTCCTTAGCCACCAGACTCCGCAGCTTCCTAATTATATTAACAAAACAAACACACAATTAACCTATTAAGCTTGTCACATTTTTCTAACTCCAGATGTTGGTTCAACTTCAGACACAATATCTTTGAGCTTTCTTATGAGAACGTCCATCCCTGGTCTAGTTTCCCAGTCATAGAAGATAGCAAACTTGATGAGTGTGAAGGCCACGAGCACGTGCTTCAGGTGCCACTGCCCCGCCAGGTGCGGGTCCATCACAAGAGCGGCGTCTGGGTAGTCATTCCCGGTCACGAGGCGCCGAAGCTCCTTGAAGTTGCTGTCCAGGGCAGATGTGCCCGAGATGAGCTCCAGGAAGAAGATCCCAAACGCATACGTGTCCGACTTCTTACTCAGGTTGCCTGCACAATGGGTCACACAGCAAAGTTCAGTCGAAGACCGAACCAAAGAGATGCATCAGTGAGCGGGTGGTCATCCGGTCCACAAGTAGCTGGATGTAATGATTCATGGCAGAGAGCGCGGGTCAGCTGACCTGATTCGAAGTAGATGGGGTCGATGTACCCCACGGACCCCATCACCCTCGTCTCCACGTGTGTCTTCCAGTCGTCCACTGCTCGCGCCAACCCAAAGTCCGCCACCACTGCCGTCAGGTCCTGTGGCGGCCGGGCGCAGGGGAGTGGGGTCAGAGGGGTTACAGGTGATGGTAAGTGTGTCTCATATGGTTTCTGCAGCCTATGAGGGGCTCACCTCTCGGAGCAGCATGTGAGCGGCTTACCTCCCTGAGCAGCACGTTGGACGCCTTGAAGTCGCGGTGCACAAAGCCGTTGGCATGGATGGCTGTCAGCGCCTCCGCACACCCCAGCGCCACCCTCAGCCGGTCCCTCCATGTGAACTGCACCTCTCCACTCGTCGCTGCACCACGAGGTGAGAGGGATAACGGAGGGGATGGATGGAGAATGGGGGATGCAAGCGTGGAAGCAGGCAGCGATGAATAAATGGTGAATGGGATGTATGGAGGGAAATTGAATGGCAGCGATCAATGAATGGCCGACAACGCCAGTGGCTCGGATGAATGGCAGGTTGCATAGCAGGGAGCGGCAGAGGGGGGGAGTGAAGCGAGAGGGTGGGCGGCAAAAGGCACCTTTGGCGAGGTAGGAGGCGGCGTCCCCATTGGGGATGTAGTCGTAGATGTGGATGGGCGTGGCGCCCACCACGTACCCCTCCAGGCGTAGGATGTTGGGATGGTGCACCCGAGCCATCACCGCCACCTCCGTCTGCCATGCCCCCATGCCCCATGCCACCATGCCCCCATCCCACCATGCCATGCCACCCATGCTCCCATGCCACCATGCGACCATGCCACCATGCCACCATGCCCCCATGTCGTCATGCCCCCATGCCACCATGCCCCCATGTCGTCATGCCCCCATGCCACCATGCCCCCATGTCGTCATGCCCCCATGCCACCATGCCCCCATGTCGTCATGCCCCCATGCCACCATGCCCCCATGTCGTCATGCCCCCATGCCACCATGCCCCCATGTCGTCATGCCCCCATGCCACCATGCCCCCATGTCGTCATGCCCCCGTGCCACCATGCCCCCATGTCGTCATGCCCCATGCCGTCATGTCACCAGGTTGTGTACAGCCGAAGATGCCAGAGTGGAGGAGCACGGAGGGATTAGAGAGTGGCTGGGAAGAAGATGCCTAGCAGGCCGGTAGCTCACGAGAAAACAGTCAAATCAGCCCCCCTTGTTCCCCACGATTACCCTCCCCCTTTTCCACCATTCCTCCCCCTCCTCCCTCATCCACCCCCTCCCTCCCCTTTCCTCTCCCTGTGCGGCGCACCATGAAGCTGTCGATGCCGTTGGCGATGTGCTCGCCGCTCATCAGCTTCACCGCCACGCCCCACACGCCCCCGCCCTTGCCGCCGGGGTGCGCGCCGGGCGGCTCCGCGAGGTACCCGTGGTACACCACGCCGAACCCGCCGCGCCCCACCTCGTGCTGGAACCCGCCCGTGGCGGCGTGCACCTCCTGGTAGCTGTACTCGCACACTCCGCCGCCCGCCTCCGCGGACTTGCGCACCGGGTACGGCGACCGCGGGTCTGGGGGGGGTAGGGAGGAGGTCCGCGGGGGAGCGAAAAGGAGAGGCGTGGGGGGGACCGGGGGGGGGGGAAGGGGGACGATTTGAGGGGGTGGGCGGCGTGACGTCGTTGGCAGTACGAGCGGGTGCTGGACGCTATCGCGATCGCGCCATCGGTGCTGCAGCGAACCTCAAATGCTGCAGCGCACATTCTCTACTGCCCCCCACCTGACCTGCCACGGCAGCGAACCTCCAGCACGCGTCACCTGATCGCGACGATCCCAGCCGTGGTGGCGGTGGTGTGTCAGAACCTCTCGCGTGCGACGCTGCGCACCCCATCGCCACGTGGCGGTCTAAACGAGCGCCACGCGGCACGGGTGGAGTGGGCAGTGAGAGGCGGGTCAACCTGATGTGAGTCTCGACTGGGGCCTTCTCGCACGGTACTCTCGACTCGTCTACCGCGCGTGGCGCGAGTGCTATAAGTTAGTAACCGGCGCAAGTCGCTCGGTCTAGGGCACGTCCTCGGGAATGCCGAGCGTTGTTCACTCGCTCCTATTTGCTGCGGATCGGGACGATCGTCAACTACCTAACGGTCACCGGAACCATTACATAAAGGACACTCAGGCCTCTCAGGACTCCTCGTGGACGCCATTCGTCGGTCCTAAGCCGCGTCCCCGGGTCCACTGACGTTCGTGCTGTGTCTGTGAAAGCCTCAACAAAACGGTCGTGGTGGTCGCTGGGAGTGAAAAATATTTTGTATTCAGGTATGTGGCTGGGCGAGACGAAGTGCAAGTGTTTGCGACACCCGCGAAACACAACTTTTCCCGCCGACCGACCGAACCTTGGGAACACCACTGGCCTTGTTCTGTAGGCGGACTTGCCTCCGCACAACATGTACGGGCTATTCTTTTTCAGAAGGCTCGTATCGCACCCAATCAAAATTTGCAGCGTGGATGTTGCTACGAAGCCCCGCACAGCCAACGCATTTCCGAAATTTGCGTGTTGATGCTGCCCCGCATAACTTGTGCGCTGGCTGATGCAAGCCCTCTAGGTTGAACCAGCACCGCACTAGTTGTGCGACCATTTGCCCGGCGAAGAAACAACTTCGAACCAGCAGACGGTTAAATTGATGCGCCCCAAAAGTGGTGTTCTGCAGGCTGAAGCGTCAAATTTGGCGCAAACAGGTTTGGCAAGACCTCTCTTATCACCAAACCTAGATAAGGTGAAGACCACTTATCAGCGAAGATTCTGCGGACCCTGTTTCTGGAAATTAACGCCAACAGAACAAGGCCTCTGTTTCAGAAACCACTGTTTCGCCGCAGCACGCTGGCTGCATCTCGCTGGCGATCGCGACTGTTTCGCGAGTCTGACTTGACTTTCGTGAATGGCGGGTACCCGGCCAATCCAGCTGGGTGTGGTCAACGGCAGTAGCGCACGACGCGTTGAAGCGAGGAGAGGAGCCGTGAGGCAATTCAGTATGATGCAGCTGGGGTTATTGGAAAGCCAATCTCGAGGTAGCAGTGTGACAAGTATTTATTAGAAGCTCGAGTCCAATTTAGGAATCTTTAGGCGACTACGACGCTCACACGTGAGCTTCACGACAGCAATCCCCTTGTTAGCCGTTTCGTTTTAGGCAGATGTTCATGCGGCGAGTCGAGTGTGCAGAGTTGAGCTTGCGGCCGTCACGCCACGATGAACCATGATCGACTGCATAACTTACGGACCTCACGTCACTCCAGTTCAGGCCATTTGAGATAGCCACATCTTAGCCGTCCGTTCTCTTCGTCACCGCGACTCACCAGCGGGTGACTACCAGACATCGCCCGTCGAGCCAGCCGGCGACTATCCTGAGTGCCAGCCCGTCGCCAGCTCTCAGCGTCGCCGCCGCCGTGCGACGGCAGGCGACGCCCAGCGTCATGGGCGGGCTCTTCTCGCGACCAGTGGGCGACGGTGAACTGCGTACGACGCTCTGCCCCGCCCGCCGCTTCGCTCTCTATCACCTCTCTTGCGCGCTTTCCCTTCTCTTCCCCGAGACTCCACCAGTTCCAGTGCCACCACCAATCGCGCTATCACCGCAAGAACCGATCTAAACCATTTCAACTCAACTGGTGCTATCCATTTTACTCTCCGCTCAAGAAATCACCCACTGTCCCCTTCTCTCCCCACCTCCCTTTACCTCTTCCCCTTTTCCCCCTCGCGCGCGCCAGACCCTGTGTACCCGACGGTGCGGGCGGCGGGGGAGGGGGAGCGCGGGCGGGGCTGGGTGCGCGAGTACGCGTTCGAGGACGCGCTGCACGCCACGGAGGGCTTCAAGGCGCTCGCGGGGCGCGGCCCCTTCGGGTTCGTGTACAAGGGCTTCATGTGGGCGCCCGCCGCGCGCGCGGAGGGGGACGGCGCAGAGGGGGAGGGCGCGGAGGGCGCGGGCGCGCGCGCGCTGATCCCGGTGGCGGTGAAGGTGCTGAACGGCGACCCCGTCACGGGCGTGGGGGGCCTGGCGACCTTCGCGGTCAGTGGGGGGGGGAAGGGAGAAGGGGAGAGGAGGGGGTGGGGGAAAGTGGGGGCCAAGGGGGAGGTGATGCAAGGATGGGGCCACTCAGTGGTCGTCTGTCCTATCCCCCTACTCGCCTTGTCTGGGCGGGCCTTCGTTTGTGCAGCCAGCTCACTTGCATCCCCTGTTGCTCCGTGCCCCTTCCTCCATGGCACATGGCACATGGCACATGGCATGTGACACACGGCCCATGCAACGGACATGTGAACAGCACGAGTGCGCGCTGGTGGAGGAGGAGGGGCGGCATGCGAGTCTGCTGCGTGTGCACGGGTACGTGGCGCAGCGGCCGCCCATCATCATCTGTGACTTCATTGAAGGCGGCACCGTGGAGCACCTCATGGCTAGAGGTGCGTCGCCTGCAGCTCATCCATTCACGCTCATTGCAAGCCCACTGCACGATGCCACCCCTTATCGTGCCGTACCAATCCCCTGTCTGCCATGCCATTCCCCCTCTCCCCCCGTTGCACGTGTGCGCGGAACAGTGGCGCGGGGAGAGGTGCAGTTCCCATGGAGGGAGCGGGTGCAGATGGCGTTCACATGTGCGGACGTGTTGGCACAGCTGCACCGCCTCAACCTCGTGCACCGCAACTTCAAAGCCTCCAACGTGCTGCTGCAACCCGTGAGCTGCTGCTGCTGCGCCTTGCACCATCGTTGCCTGCGTCCATGCCCAAATTACCTCCTTTTCCCCATCGTCCTTCCATCTTTCTGCCTAATAAAAGAAAGATGTTTGCTTTCTTCCTTCAACCACTCTCCCTACCCCTGCTGCTGCTGCATTTGCGGGCGGGCAGGACGGGACGGCAGTGGTGGCGGACTATGGGTTGGCGAGGGTGGTGGCGGATTGGAAGATGCACGTGCAGATGAGGGGCGCCTCCTCCATGTCCTACATCGACCCCGCCTACTTCGACTCCGGTCCGCCACCTGCCCTCCCCCCTGCACCTTGCCACGTGCACAGCAGCACTGCACCATAGCACCACATCACCCCTTCCGGCATTCATCTGGTGGCATCTCACATTACCACTTTCCGTCCATGCACTTTCGCCTTGCCTTCACCCCTCCCTCTTAACCCCCCACCCAACCCCCCACTGCTCTGCGCGGCCTGCCAGGCACGCTGACACGTCTATCAGACACGTACGCGTTCGGCATCTTTCTCCTGGAGCTGGTGTCGGGGGCATCAGCGCAGGGGCCGCGCTTCAAGGCCGTGCGCAAGGCCGTGGCCGTGGCGCGCGAGGCGGACCCCGCACAGGTGCTGGACCCGGCACTGACGGGGCAGTGGCAGCCGGCTGCCAGCGCCATCGTGCTGGCGACCATCCGCTCCGCCATCCTGTACGAGCGCGACAACCGCCCTGACATGGCCATTGTCAGGGACCAGCTACGGCGCGTGCTCGATATGATATGACATGGTCACGGGGGGGGGAGAGGGCGATTGATTAGTTAAATAGGAAGGATCAGTGGGTCCTGTCCTGTGGTAATTGTTTTAAAGTATTGCTAGCTATGCACTAGGTAGCTTAGCTACGGTATATTTGACTTGCTTGTACAGTTTCCATTTTTATGGCTGACTTCAACCGTCTGTGCCTCTCTCTCTCTCGATTTACATTGCAATGGCGGGTATCGGAATTCCCAGTGCTTGAAAATCCCAAGGCTCGCCTCCCTCCCGTCACTCCCAACCCAAGCCAGCCCGCCACCATGCCACTCTCCGCTCTCTCCGTCGCCCGCCCCCTCGTACCTGCCGCGGCTGCTTCCCCCGCAAGCGCCGCTCCTCCAGCGCGCGCTCAGTCTTGCGCTCCCCTCCCTAGCGACCGCCGCCTGCCCGCAGTTTTTCCGCTGCGCGCAGCATTGCATGCGCGCACCGCCCTCGCTGGCGCCCTCTTCCCCCACGGCCATGGATGTACGTCGGGCCCCCGCGGTCGCCGCCAGCTCGCGGTGAGGGCGACGGCGACCCTCCCTGTGGCGGCGGCAGGCGGCGGCGAGCTGGCGCCGTTCCCGCGCGACTACGACGAGGCCATCCGACAGGTAGCGCGCGCAGCAAGGAATGCGCGCAGAGGCCGTTAGCGCGGAGGCAGTGTGCGCATGGCAATGTGCGTCCATGCGCGCGCGCATGCCACGATGGTGGCGACCTGGTTGAAAGTCCTAGCTGTCCGTGGTGCCAGCTCAGCAATCATAATGCGTGCGTGGTGGCGTGTGTGCTCCCCGTGTCACAGGCGCAGCAAGCCACTCAAGCAGCTCTCGCCGACGGCCGCTCGCTACTGGTGAGATGCACACAAAGGTACCGCACAGTACAGTCGCATTACCTCTTATCACTGCATGTCCCTGTAGCACTGCATTTCCTCTTATCGACGCATTTCCTCTCGCATTACCTCGTGCTACCGGATTGGCCGCTCAGCAGCGCATTGCGGCTGTGCTTTGCTGCCATGATGCCACTGTGCCGCCCACCAGGAGGTGGAGTTCCCCACGACCAGCCTTGACTCCGTGCCAGGTGTGTGCTGTGCTGTGCTCTGTGGGTTCATTCTCCTCTCATGCCACACATGCTCTCATGCCACACATGCCGCACATTGCAACTTGTGTTGTTCCCTGTTGCCCTCTCCTGTCCTCATTTTTTAATGCTTGCCTGCTTGGGTGCCCCCCTTTGCTCCGCCCACCTCTGTCCATGCTCCCCTCGCCTTGGCTGGGCACTCGTCCTGAGTCGCGGGGGCAGGCGATGCGGAGGGGGGGATAGAGATGACGAGCAGCATGCGAATGCTGCGCCAGTACTGCCTCATGTTCGCCGCTCAAGGTCCCCCGCCCTCCTCCGTGCGCCTTGTGAGTCACTCCCTACCATGCCCCTCCCGCTGCCCCTCCCTGACTTTCCCTGCTCTTCCAATCTCCCTTCTGACCCTACCCCATCCTTCTCCCTGCATGCTAATGGCTTCCCCTACCCCGTCTCTCACCCCTTTGCGCCTGCACCACGGCACCGCACCACGGCACCGCACGCCACAGTTCTTCCCGGACGCCAACGAGCTGCCGGCAGCGCAGGAGGTGTTTGAGGGCACGGCGTTCCCCCTGGACTGCCTCACCAAGCCCACGGGGCTGGAGGACATCGGCTTCTCGCGCAAGCTGCCCCTTGCTGACCGCGTGGCCGCCTCCGACCGCCTCTTTGTCGCCGCCTACCCCTACTTCAACGTCAACGGTGCGCGCTGCCCCTCTCAGACAGACGACTCTGCTGTGCTGCACAGCATGCCCTGTGCTGCACTGTGTGCTCACAGCATGCCCTGTGCTGCACTGTGTGCTCACAGCATGCCCTGTGCTGCACTGTGTGCTCACAGCATGCCCTGTGATGCTCTGTGTGCTCACAGCATGCCCTGTGCTGCACTGTGTGCTCACAGCATGCCCTGTGCTGCACTGTGTGCTCACAGCATGCCCTGTGATGCTCTGTGTGCTCACAGCATGCCCTGTGCTGCACTGTGTGCTCACAGCATGCCCTGTGATGCTCTGTGTGCTCACAACATTTGCTGCTTCATGCCTGAAGGCCTATTGCTCTCTGCTGCTGATCGTATGCCCTGCTGTCATGTCTCCCAAGTATTATGAGTGCAGAAATGTTGGCGGTTGATGATCTGTACCGTGACGTGGCAAGCAAAAAGGGGCAGCCAATCATTGTCTTCAATGGGGAGCTCGATCGGATCCGATCAGGATGTGAGTCGCATGAAGGAAAGCAACAAGTACCATGGCATTATTCTTACTTCGTCAACCCTAGCATCATAAACCAGTTACCTGGATTGAAGCATTGCAAAGTTCTCAAAGCTGCGGTCTACATACCTCCAGGGACGGGCCTTGGTTTATCACTTGAAAACCAGGTGAACCAAGTATCTGTCTGTGGAGAAACCATCGAGGCGGAAATAGGGAGGGGACTGGGGGTTCCCAAACCAACCGAGGCCGTGTTCGGTAGCAGGTGTTTGTTTTGCAACGGAACGGGAGGGGGAGGTGTTTAGTGGTTGCAATATTTTGTTGCGTTTGGTTCTGGATGTAACTCACAGAACCAACCCCCCGCGTCCCCGTTCCGTTAGTCTATCGAACAGGGCCCGAAACTTGACCTAGAACTTCCGCCCTTCGGCGCATTCATCCCCCAAACCGTCCCCCCTCACGAAAAAACAACATATTCGCTTGATTCTGTTTTCCCAACCCATCGTCCCTAGCGAAACTGAGTAGTTCCGCCAAGTCTTGTTGGCTGGGTCGCACGCACAGTTCAGGAAGAGAGCCTCTTCGCAAGCGAATCATAGTGTGTCAAAGGGTGTCCAATAGAAATACCCTCAAAAACACCCAGAAGTATGTAGACCGCAGCTTTAAGATTTGATATGCATTTCATTTCAAAGACCGTGCATCTGTTTTTCCTTTGGTTTGGCAGACTACCCGTCATTCTTTTACCCAAAACTGGCTAAAATCAATAAGAGCCTTCTTCCACTCTTTGAAGCTGCTTATTACATTCATAACTTCAAAGGACGGTTTGGAGGCAAACTATTCAGGTATGTTACAAATGACTGAGTTGAGGAATGTATTGGCTTGGTTCTTTATGCTATAAATATCTATATCTTGATTGGTGCAGGGCCTATCCAGGACCGTGGCAAGTATTGCGGGAGGATGCAAACGGCAAGCTGATATGCATCCACAAACAAGACAAGATGCCGTCTTTGAAGGAAGTTGCGCTTGAAATTCTTCCCAAATAGACACCTACAAATATGAATTTGTTTTTTTTTTTGGGATATCATTACAGCTTGTATTGTTAATCCTTTGAATGTAGATTTCGCGACAGTTTTCCGACTCTCGAAACCTGAACACGAGCCAAACCCTCAAACGTGAGCATCGACGGTCCATGTTCGTCGATGGTAGAAGATCGAACGCCTCTCAGCAGGTCCCTCTGTCCTATTTAGCTGCCGCTTCTCATTCTTTCTGATCTCTTTCGTAGGTGGTTAGCACGCAGCCATGGCGACCAAACGAGGCAAGCACGTCTACCCCCTTTCCGTCACTATCGTCCCTTTTTCTGCTTAACTAACCGTCACAAGTCGCTTCGCCTGTAGTAGTCTGGCGCACTACCGAGTAATGGTTTAGCTTCAGATTCGTTCAAAGCTGTGTACTAGTTCTCTGCGGTCGTACCCTAAAAGTTGGTTGCTCGCGGTGAAGTCTGAAATGCAGCGGCGCGGTGTGTGGGTGTTGCGTGGCAGGTGGAACGACGACGGGAGCCAAGTTTCGAGTGACTCTGGGTCTGCCGGTGGCGGCGGTGGTGAACTGCGCGGACAACACGGGCGCGAAGAACCTGTTCATCATGTCGGTGTGCGGCATCAAGGGCCGCCTCAATCGCCTGCCGGCCGCCGCCGTGGGCGACATGGTGATGGCCACGGTCAAGAAGGGCAAGCCCGACCTGCGTAAAAAGGGTGAGCGTTGCTACTGCCGGCCCGGCTGCCTGGGAGAGCGATGTGCTGTTTTAGGGTTTGTGGTGTAGTGGAGATTGTGGGCAAATGCGCTCAACTACTTGCGCCGTAATTTAGGGTTTAGAGGTGGGTGGCAATCTCGTTGTCGACAGCCTCTGGAAGCTCCAGATCTCGCTGCCCGCTTTGTCCGGCTCGTGCTGCCATGCGCTCATCTATGTCATTCCGCTTCCTCACCCTCCACCCGCACCACTCCCCTCTTGTCCCCCGCCGCAGTGCTACCGGCGGTGATCGTGCGGCAGCGCAAGCCGTGGCGCAGAAAGGACGGCGTCTTCATGTACTTCGAAGGTCAGGCGCTGCTGTTTTCTGTAGGGCCGAGTAGGGAAAAGTAGGGCAAAGTAGGGCCAATCAGGGTTGGATGGAAGCAAGTAGATTGGGCCCTTACTGTGCGGCTGCGTGACACTGCGCGCTAGAGCCGTTAAAAGCCAGAGGTTGTCAGTACGTCTGTCGGTTTTCGGAGTCCCAGCACTCGTGGCGCTCCGTGTTCTCTATGCTCGTGTTCTGTTTGAGCCATTGCTGACGTGGCTGCTGCGTGTATGTGCGGTGGTTGTGTGGTGCAGACAATGCGGGAGTCATCGTGAACCCGAAAGGAGAAATGAAAGGTGAGTCACGGCCTCGTGCCCCGCGCGTTCCACGCCCTTCAACTACCGCCCATTTCTTGCACCGACCATGCCTTTGCTCGTCTCTTGCTACGCGCCCTAACTGTCTAGCCGGCTTGCGTGTGCGTGCGTGCGTGCTGGTGGTCCGTGCGTGTGTGCCGTTGTCTGTCTTTGGTGGTCCGTGTGCTGCATGGCAGGGTCGGCCATCACGGGTCCGGTGGCCAAGGAGTGCGCGGATCTCTGGCCTCGTGTCGCCAGCGCCGCCAACTCTATCGTCTAGCACCCTCTGGTCCGTGCCACGCCCACACCTCTTCCCACGCCCACACCTCTTCCCACCCCACACAACCACCCCCCGCTACTCCCCGCCCTCTCCTTATAGAATTTAAGCTAGCTCTTCCTCCTGGCTCCCCCTCCTCCCTCTTCCCTCCCGCCCCCGCCCTCCTCGCCTGTCCACTTTTTGTTCTGTGCAAACCATTGCCGCTCTTGTCTGTGCCCGTGGTTCCTTGAAATGCGACCACTGCTGCTGTCTCACCCTGCTGTGTGCCTGGTCTTCTTGCAGGCACTAGAGGGCGGTGGAAGTGGAGGGCAGCAAGGCCAGACTGCTGGCGTGGAGTGGAGTGCCGTGCTGGCTTGTTAGGCTGGCTAGTCATTGTGCTGCCTGACAGATGTCAATGCTTGTGGCAATGCACAGAATGTTGGCTCTGCCATGCTCTCAAAGAATCTTTTGGTGATGTTAGGTCGATATATCCACAAACATACAAGAACTTGAGTAATGCGATGCGATGAAGGCAGAGAGTCAGCACACTTGCACCTGCACAACACCAGAGGCTGCGCTCCGTGGAAACCTCGTCGCCTCCTCTCGTGTCCCCACAGAGATCCAAGCCTTCGCACCTCCACAAGTCCACCACCACCCACCATCACGCATCCCGCATCCCGCATGTGCGCATGCCGCCGCCAGCAGTAGCCCTGACGTCACCCGCATGACCACTCCGCACGTCGCCGAATTCCCCCACCCGCGCCACATGCCCGTCCAGCGGATTCGTCGCGCGCCTCTCCGCGCGCCGCTCCTGTGCGTGCTGTGCCTCCTCTGCCTCGTCCGCTCTTTTCCCGTCGCAGACCTCGCGTCGCCTGCACGCTCCTCGCCATCGCAGCTGTCGCCCACTCTCGCTCGTCGTCGTCTGACCCAATTGCTCGTGCCTGATCCCCCCTCGCAATCCCTCGCCCCGTCGCCTATGGCGGGGTGGGCGGCAGGCGAGGGGTGGGAGAGTGACACGTGGCGCGATCTGAGTGGCGAGTTTGATGAGTCGGATGACGAGGGTGGCGAGGGCAGCAGCCGGCGGGGGAAAGAAGATGGGGGGAATCAGATGCTGGGCCAAGGGGGGGAGCAAGCGCAGGGGAGGAGGGAAAAGCAGGGAATAGGGGGAATGGCGGGGCTGGGGAGCGCAGAGCAGGGGGAAGCGGGCGAAGCCACGGGGGCGGACGGGCGGGCGGGTCAGAATCCGGGTATGGACGTGCATGGTGACGGGGCGGCTGACACAGCACAGCCAGCAGAGGGGGCGAGCGGGGGCAGGTGGGGGGTTGAGGAGGCGGACACGGAGGGGGTGGCGTGGCGGGTGGAGGAGGCGTGGAGGGAGTGGGACCGACTCGTGGGGTGCGAGCGATTCCGAGCCAAACACGCAGGTCTGGTAGGTGGCAGGGTGTGTGGGAAGGGGTGGTAGGGGTGGTTTGACATGTGCAGTCTCTGACTCCCCTGTGCTTGCACGTGCAGGCCACAGCAGCAGCAGTGGTGGTGGAGATGGCAGCTATGAGGGCGATGAGGCGAGTGACTGCTCGCTGCTGAAACTGCCCCATGTCACCGTGCAGGTGCGCACCCCTCCACCCTCCTCGCCAGGCCAACATCCCCCTTCACTCTCGCAAGCCTGCTACTCCCAATGCCTCCTGCTCTTGACAAGTCCACAACCCTCTTTCTACTGTCCGTTTGCATTCCCATCCCCCTGCCCTTGCAACCACGGGGTGCAGATCATGGCGTCCTCGTCGCTGCCCGCATGGCTGGAGGGCTTCTTCACGTGCCCCTGCGGCCTCACCTGCACGCTGTCGCGCAGTGAGGTGCTGGCAGCGCGCCCCGACGCCATGCTGTACGAGGGGGGCGCGCCCAGGGGAGTCAGAGTCAAGGGCGACCCGCTGCTCGTGCATGTGGCCATGGAGGCGGAGGGGGAGGGGGAAAAAGGGGGAGAGGGCGCGCAGGCAGGCAGTGGGGTGGATGTGACGGTGGGGTATGGCCCGGGTGCGGACGTGCAGTGCACGTATGCAACCAACCTGCTGCTCGCCGACCACAACCGCCTCATTGCTGCTGCCAAGTCCCCCGTAAGTGCCCTGCCGCCCTGCTGCTGTTTCTTGCTCCTTCCTTGCCTTGCTTCACTCTAGTTGCATGTAGAACAAGAGAGAGAGCCGGTTTTAACACTCATTCACACCCCTTCTTCCCCGCTCCCACCCCCATCTCCCTCTCCCAGGCTCTGGCCATCTTCCATGCCTCATCGCGCTACTCGCCGTGGCGGGCGGCAGCAGCGCCGCTGCTACTGGCGCACCCCCTCACGCACCGCTTCGGCCTGCAGACGCCCCTCCCGCTGCGCTGCTCCCTGCGCCGTGCCTTCCCCCGCTGCCAGTACTCGCACGCACCCAAGGGGGCAGGGGCGCAGGGCGCAGGGGCGCGGGGGCAGGCGCAGGTGCTCGGGCAAAGGGGGACGGGGGGGCCTGGTGTAGGATTCTTGGGTGGGGCCGTTGCAAGGGGGACAGCAGCTGTGGGGGGGAGCGGAAGGGGGGGTGCAGTGGCGCAAGGGGAGGTAGGGGGGAAGGAGGGGCAGGGGGAGAAGGAGGGAGAGGGGAGTGCAGGGGGGGCGGAGGAGGGGGCAGGGTGGACGGCGAGGGACCGGGAGATGGCTGGCGTGGATGAGGCAGTTGGGGGTGGCGGGGGAGGAGGGGCGCGCGGGGGGCCGTATGCGGGGTGGTGGGGGGAGCTGGCGTGTGCACAGTCGCACTTCCTCTTCTCCCTCGCCATCGAGCGCCACCACCGCCCCGCCTACGTCACCGAGAAGTTCTTCCTGCCCCTCCTCGCAGGTACGCACCCACCCCTCTTCGCACCTTTCCCCACCCACTCACCATGCACCCCTTAACAGGTTACACGTGTAGCACAGAATGTGCTCTTGCTCACATGCACACGCCCTTGTGTATGCGTACGCCGCACCATCCCCACCTGTTCCGGGAGGCGATAGCCTGTGTGAGAGTCTCGGAAGTCAAAAGCGTCAAGCATGCTACCTCATCCCCCACACTCCCATGGCAGGCAGTGTGCCGATCTACTACGGGGCGCCAGACGTGGGAGAGTTTGCCCCACCGGAGTCGTTCATGGAGGGCGGGGCGGAGAGCGAGGAGAGCATAGTGCAGCGCGTGCACGCCATGCGCAGCAACGCCACGGCCTACCTCTCCCTGCACGCCTGGCGCCGGTAAGCCCCTGCAGCACCGCACTGCTCTGCGCTCTTTATGTGTGTGCCCCTGCACGCGCACTCACCTGCTTGCCACTCCTTGCACAGTGCCACCCTACCACTTACGACCGAACCACCCTCGCCCCTGAACTCCTCCTGCCCTCCACCACACCCGCTCACTCCCCAGGTGCGGAGTGCTGGGGGGCCTGCAGCGAGCGCTGCGGATGGGGTTTGACACTCTGCCGTGCCGCCTGTGCCATCACATCAGCACCATGGGGGGGCGCGCACACACCCCACAACCCCGCTCTGCTGAAGAGGATGCTGCTGCGGGTGGGGGTGATGGCGATGCCATGAACTCGGCCACAACAGTGATTTGAACTCCCCAAATGGCATTGCTCAACGAATGATTAAAATGAGTCATTGTCTTAATTATCTCAAAACATTGATGTTGCTGTTTGAAATCTTCCAATTCACTCAAACACACACAAGCAGTGTTGAAGGGCATGCTCCTACAGCACCCTGCTGGAGCCAGACTCGCCTTGCACCGAACTGAACCAGACCAAACGTGTGAAACGCTCTGAACAATGAGTGTGACACGAGGTGGGGTTGACAGGAGGTGTAGGAACACGCCCTGAGTTGCAGTGGACTCGTAGCTGATGGTGTACAGCAGGCATTGAGATTGGCAGTGGCAAGTCAAATGGGAGATTGCGGTGGTTCACATCCACTGGCCACCCCCCTGCTGCACCTCGCTGGGGTACAAGGGCACCGGCAGAGGCATGTCCTCCCCTGCCCTGCTGCTGCCTGCCACCTCTGCCCCGCTGCTGCTCGCCTTGTCTTTGATGATGCTGCTGCTGCTGTGTGCTGTGCGGTGCGTTGAAGAAGGATGAGGTGGATGAGAGGGAGGAGGAGGTGCGGGAGGGGATGGGGGAGAGAGTGGAAGCGAGGAGTTGAGGCGGGGAGAGGAGAGGTGGAAGGCGAGGGGGGGCTGGAAGGCCCAGAAGGCGAGGTTAGGGCGGCGCCACCACAGGGAGTCGAGGGGGTCGTCCACCTTAAAGCCCGCCACCAGGCGCTCTGCACCGCGGTGGGAGATGATGTAAGCAAAGGAGCACCAGGAGAGGGGGTCCCATGCGATGTGGGGGGATAGTAGTGGCATGAAGTGGCCTGCCAGCACCCCCATGTGCCCCACAAACAGGATGTCTGGTGGTGACTCCGGGCTGTGCTGACGTGTCAGCAGCTCATTGGCCTCGGCAATGTTCCGTTCAAAGCCGGCCCGGAATGTGCTTGTAGTGAAGGTGACGTCATCCTCCAGTATGATGGCGTAGGGAAGCTTCCTGCGCAGCACCTCGAGCCACACGAGGTAGTGCGAGAGAGCGCACGCCACCTCCCCTCTCGTGAGCCGCTCGCGCCGCCGCTCCGCCAGCTTGTGCCACTTGATGGAGCGCCGTGTGACCGACACCGCCCCCGCCCCCACCAGCCCCCCAAACACGTCCAGGTTCCTCTCCGCCTCCAAGTCCGCCTCCTCCCCCCTGCCCTGCGCCCCCCCCCCCGCGCCGTGCATCCTGCCCCCGTCCACGCCGAGCGCCACCACCACGTCTCCAAAGCCCTCCTTCTGCAGCAGCGGCAGCACTCGCTGCAGGCGCTGGGGGGAGCGGCGCAGCGACAGCACGTAGGCCGGCCAGAGGGGCAGCGAGGGGGGCAGCGTGAGGGGGAGGGGGAGCGGGGGAGGGGCGCGCACATGGGGCAGCAGGTGCTGCAGGTGGTGTGCGAGAAGGCACTGCGCGGGGGAGAGGTGTGGGCAGAAGGCGGGCGAGGAGGAGGGGATGGAGGGGCTTGGGCCGGCGGGGGCAGGGTCGTGCATGCGCCAGGGGGCGTGCAGGGCAGCGCCGGGCATGGAGGGGTGGGCGGGCAGGGCGAGCAGGATGGTGGAGCGGCAGGCGGGGGTGAGGCGAGTGGAGGCGGGCAGGGAGAGCGCAGGGGGCGGTGTGCGGCAGGGCTTGGGCGAGCAGGCGAAGATGGTGGTGGCCAAGAGAGGCGGCTCCGCTGCCAGTATGGTCATTCCGGGGATGCCTCCCGTGCTCTCCGCCACTGGCCTGCACGGTTGGTGGGGGGGCGTGCACAAGAGGGGAGGGGGGCCAGCAGGGGGTGAGAGTGAGAAGGAAGACAGAAGGAGGTGATGCACGGATTGAAGAGGCACATGCATGCATGCGCGTTGGCTGCTGGAATAAGCACGTTCGGGTGGCATGGGTGGGGTGAGCGCAGGGGCGGGAGCAGGGGGCGGGGGGAGTACGAGTGGAAGCGGGAGAGGGCGAGGAGGCGCTTGGCGCCGGCGTAGGAGAGCAGGTAGGCGTGCATGGCCTCGCTGGGCTGCGCGCTCACGATGCCCGGCGCCAGCTGCTGCTCCGCGTAGGGCGCTAGGCCGTGGCGCGCCAGCAGCAGCACGTCAAAGAAGAAGCGGTCGCCGCGCTGCAGCATCAGCAGATTCAGCTCCCACAGCAGCTGGGGGGGAGGGGGGAAAAGAAAAAGGGGAAGCGGGGGAGTGGGGAGAGGTGCAGGTGAAGGGGCACGGAGGCAGGGTTGGGCACGTGCCCTGTGGGCGTGCAAGGGGAAAGGGCAACACAGACAGCGGGTTGAGCAAGGCAGCAGGAAGCGAATCTTGTGGTCCCGTTGCGCCCCTCCACCCCCCCGCCGGCAGGTCACCATTTCGAAGCGCGCCTGCCAGGCGGCGACGCCCTCGTTGCGGTTGAGCGCGTCCTCCTCCAGCACCAGAGCGAACGGCATCCCTGCTGCCACCACGCGCGCCCACACCTCCGCATGCGCCGCACTGTACCGCACGTCCTGCCTCCCCGCCCCCGCTCGCCCCCCCCCCTGCGGTGCTGCGCGGTACAGAGGGGCGTACCTGGGGGCGGCAGAAGGGGAGGGGGTGATTACGGGACGAGCTTTGGTAGACGTACAGGAGCAACAGTGGGGGAGAGGACGAGGGCGACAAGCAGAGCGGACGGGGTGGGAACGCGATTGAGTGGGAAGGGCAAGGGAAAAAGAAATGCAAAAGATGGTGGGTGAAGTGTGGGTGGGCGTGCCACACACCTGAGAGCGTGGGCGTGCGACACACCTGAGAGCGGGGGCGTACGACACACCTGAGAGCGTGGGCGTGCGACACACCTGAGAGCGTGGGCGTGCGACACACCTGAGAGCGTGGGCGTACGAGACGTTGCGTGGCACGAGGGCGAGCGTGTATTGTAGCCCCACCGACTGCAGGCGCGCATCCAACTCCTGCCCATGGCACGGCATGGCATGGCGGGCACAGAGAGGCGTGCACATGGGGGAGGAACGAGGAGAGGAAGCAAGAAAGCCGTAGGGGGGACGACGTGAGAAAGCATGAGAGGGAAGCAATTGTGAAAGCAGATAGGGGAGAAAGTGTAAAAGCAGAGAGGGGGACTAAGAGGGAAAGCAGGGGGGAGTAGTAAGCAGGAAAGAAGAGGGGAAAAAGTGGGAATGCAGGGGGAGAGACGTACAGCAGCAAGGGGAGTATGTGAGAAAGCTTCTAGGGGAAGATGGTGGGGAGGGGGCAAGGGGGGAGGCGGGGGGCGCACGAGCAGGAGGGGGCTGAGGCCGTGGGCGGGCAGGGCGGGCGGAGAGGGAGGAAGACGGCGTCCGCTGCGCCAGTGGTGGCAGCGCAGGGGCAGCCCCGTGGA